TATATATATATATATATATATATATATACATTAAAGGAACCTTAGGTGTTGCATATGTGTATACACTTGCAAGAGTGATAATAAGTTGGTTACCTAAGTTACAAGATCTTATAGCTCTTCATACTACATAAGTTGAGTACATGGAAACTACTCAAGCTTATAAGGAAGTTAACTACACTCAAACATTAAAGGAAAAACTCAAAAACAAGCAACAAAAACTTATTATATATTGTAATAGTCAAAGTGTTTTGCACATGACACGGAATCTTGCCTTTCATAGGATAAAACATGTATGTATATGCTACAACTTATACCAACAAGAAAAATAGCAAATGTTATGACAAAGCTAGTTAATATTCTACCATGAGTTATAGAAGAAATAAGCAACATAATAACGAACAATAAAATACGGTCAGATCTAATTAATTTCATCAAAATCTTACGTGGAAATATGAAAAATAGAAGTCTTACATTCAAAAAATTTACTTTTGTACTTACTTTTCACGTTATAAAAAATGTGAAGTTTTTTCTTTAACATGACACACCAAAATTTCTCATTTTCTTTTATATTACTTTAGTATTTGAGAAAAAAAAATATTAAGAGATGAAATTAATTTTTCTTTCAAAGTTTTTCTTTTAATTATTTTTCCTATTTTTAAAACAAAATTATTATTTTCTCCTTAAATATAGAAATAAAGTTATTATAATTTTTTTTCTCCTAATTATCTAATACCCATCAAATCACTTGTGTTGCTTACAACAAAAATAATTAAGAAACTAATTATAGCGATAACTCGAACTCCTTTGAATTCTCCCTAAAAACGGCAATATAAACTACAAAGAATATTTTTCTCCCTCACAGAAGACAACAAACATTATTCATTGTTGTTTCAGTCTATATTTTGTGGGACCGATGAACATACCTTGCCAACGTGTCTTCCTTGCTTCCGGATGTCTATGTCGCTCGCTTGTCCTTTGATGTGTTGCTCGCTTGTCTTTTCTGGAAGTGGTTCGCACTTCTTCAGTTAGTACCGCTCGTCCACTTTCACCAACGGAATGGGAGGTACCTGCGAAGATACTCCGACGCTCAAGTCAGGCGTGCGTTCTAGAGCCTCAGCTCTCAAGAAAGTGATTTTGTTATCACTGTAGAATGTTATCTAGTGCCAATATAGCGTAAGTAGAACGTAGAAAAAACCTACCTGGACCTTTTCCCTATTATTGTATTTATAAGTGTAAAAACAACCTCACCTAGAAACTTGATTAGTTACTCATAAGTATCTTAACCGCTTAAAATATCTAAGATATTTTATCCAATAAATATCTCACTGTACAATTGCAAAACGTGGACAAACAAAAATAATTCAAGAAAGCTAATGTGTGAGAAGTGATTGATGAAAAAAACATATTTTAGGCAAAAGTATTAATATCACCAAATAAGTTATATATACGGCTGCGTTATTGAATCAACTTTTGTAATAAGCTAATTTTCTCCAAGACAGCAACTTTCATTTATTTATCACACTATAGTATCAGATAAATAAAGTGGGTACATAGATATTTGCTCTTATGAGTGGGAAAAGTGCTGCATCCATCATAACTAGACGGAAAGGTTGCAATTTTCTAAAGGGAATCAAGTCCTTGAAGAAAAAGGGAAGTAAAATCTTCCATCTCACTTTTACTTAACAGCAATCCAATCTCAATTCCTCCACTGATATCCCTACTTTCACTGAGAGAAAATGCTCCTGTTTTGTCTGTGGATAACATATCCACCTTCTTTGGCCTTCCCCACCCAAAATCAATGCTATAAACCTCAAACAACGGAGACCCAACAGTAGAAATAATTCTACCCTCCCAAGGGTCATGCATACTCGAAACCCATTTTTCTGCTCCATTCAAAACTCCCTCTTCCTTCACCCTATTCAAAGCCTCAACTATCCTCTCCAAAGCACAAATGAACCCATCTTTTCCAATCAACTCCTTAGTCAAAGCCACAACGAATTCTCCTTTAACGCAGTTTCCAAAATACGTGGCTGGAATTGGAGGATCCAAGCGCGTTCTACAGTCAACAGAAAATATGCACAGCACATTTTCATCCTTCACTTGGTTCGCTTTGACCCAACACGCTAACACATACGCACACGTAACAGAAAATGTTGACAGAAGAACAGCCACTTTGACCTTTGAGTTTCCGTATTGTTTGAGCTTTTGAATCTGTGAAGGGGTCAATTCAAACAAACCTTTGAGTCCATCGCTCGGT